GGTTGTTGAGGCCGACGACGGGGGAATCCTCGGCGGCGGCGGCCAAGCTACGGAGGGGCTGCTCATGGCGGTGGCGCGTGGGTTCCACCTTCCGGTTCATAGCCGAGCAAAAGCTGGCCATCACCACCGTCACAATCACGACCATGACAAGAGCCAGCAGAAGCCTCGTTCTTTTGTCCATGAACCCAAATTATTGTAAGAAGCTGAAAACGAAAACAAAAAAAAATACGTGATTTTTTTTTTGTATGTATAACGCAATGATCCTATAATTCATTCTTTTAAATAAAAATGCAAGTTTTTTTGGACTTACTGGCTTTTCTTCTTCCAATGCGCCGATGGGGCACGGAGAAGCTATATATAGAAATCCCTATGGGTCCTGTTTCCGTATTTATCATAAAATATCGACCTTTTCAAGGGATTTCTCCTTATTTTCCTTCTATGATATATTTGAAATTCACTATTAGTAAATTTTATACTATAAAATGGGTTAAAATATTGTGTTATTAAATGAGATGCCCGTGGACCATCGGTAAAGTGATTGGTCAGAGTGTTAAAACATTGTTTTTGTAAGCTGAAATACTTTATTAACTAAATTCTTAACCCACGATATAGATCTTGAACTAATTTTATTTCTACGGTTAGTATTGCGTAAAAATTAATATATCATACGTATTAACTTGCATATATGGACAGGAATCATGTAATACCAAGTAAAGAAATAATATCATTATTTATAACTTGCTAAAACTGCTCAATATTCATCATATAATGCGAATCTAAGGAAGTGGAAACCAAAAAATGTCATAATGGTCGAGTAATGATTATTATGGAGCAAATTGAGAGATATCATAATTGTCTTTTGTTGCGAACAAATAGGGAAAACCCACAATATTACATTTGGATTCACAGGTCAAAACAGGATCGATCGTGGGCAACCCTATTGTGTGTGGATTAATTATGATGGTCGTGCCATTTGAGATTTGATTACAAGTTGATGGCATTTGATAATATGTATATATATCTTCCGATTTTAATGAATATATATTATCATAGTTATGAATATTTTAAACTAATAAAAAAATAAACCCTTAGTTTTTTACATCATAAAAAGTCCAGCTCTGAAAATGCATGGGTGGTGGTGACGAAAATCGCCATAAATTTGCACGAATAATGGATATCCAAATTATAAAACAGTTTGGTCTGTATATATAGAATTTTATATTGGTAATTAAACATATAGTTGGAATTGGAATATATATTCTATTTTATATCAGATGGTCAAATATATCCATAATGAATATGGTAAGTCCATAGCCATCATCATATATCGATTTGAAATAAAGCTTCATCTTATAAGAAAGTGTTCTGCAAAAAGGGAATTTAGGGTTTTTTCACGAAATATCTTTCGAGTTTCCACTCCTTCCGTATGATAACTATGCACATTTTATCAAATATATTAACATAAATCCAGCAAATATCGTCTTCGAAATTTGAGTATTCACTATGGACCGACTAATAATGCTGTATAATATTTGGAGAAAATATGTTTTTAAGGACTATGGAATTCATGACATTCCACCTAATTAACATGACATGGCATGACGTGTTTTTTTTTTCGAATAGGAAAGAAGATATTTTAGCACGGTCAATTAATTACAAATTTACAAGATGAATTACTTGGTCCAAAGGAGGTTGCTAAAGACATTGCTGAATTAAAATCATGTTTACTTTTAGCCCAGATGTTTATGGATTGAGTCTTGGGTTGGTCCGAATATTGGATTTGAATTGATAGATATTAGACAAAAGATATAAAATTTTCAACAAAAAAAAAATCGTGTAAAAAAAGACAAGGCATGGAAAGACGCAATTTAATATCAAATATACCCTCTGAATATTGTCAACGTCTTACTTTAGACCCATACATTTTTATTTATTTCAATTTAACCCATTTAGCGAGAACGAAATTATGCAGTAGGATTAGACATGGGTCGGATCGGGTATTCGGTTTTTGGGCATCGGCTCTGAATTAGAAATTTTTGGATTATTAGGTTTTGTCACCCATTTACTAGCCCTAATCGTTTGGATATTTACGAATAACCCTATTACTAAACCTCGACAATCCAACGGGAACAACACGTATTTTATGGCTATGGATTTTCATCGTTCGACGTCTGAATTTGAATCTAAATACAGAAATTTCACGGTTATCGCACCGATGAATATATATCATAGAAAAAAAACTAGATATTTAACTGGCTAATGGGATAAAATATTCGATTTTCCAACTTATTTATGGAACCTATATATTGGCCTCCAAATTTGTTTTGACCCTATGTTTTACTTTCAAGTCCGACTTTGACCCCTAATTTATTTTTTCGTATGTTTAAAAAGATAAAGAAGGAGAAAGAATCAACTATGTATTTATGATATACGTTAATACGATATAATATATATATATATAAGTAACTTATTGATATAAGTTAATGCCTAATAAGTTGGTATATACTAATTCTAACCGCGTCTTACCAATTTGAGTTTTATAAGTCTTTTAGTACAATTTTTACACTATATTATTAGTTGGTGTTCGTATTTAATTATAAGATTTTAATTGGAAGACGTAATTTACATAGTTAGCTTGTCTAACCCCGCGTGCAATCAAATTTCATATCAATAAAACGAATAATATGCTTTTGACAATAATTTGATAAAGTCTCGCACTAATTTTTATTATTTTTTGTTTCGAGAAACGGAAATTTTCATCTATTCACACACCATCTTACTCCTTAAATAATTATTTCGGTTTTGCAAATTTTTTAAATAAGCATTAATTTCACCTTCTTCTTTTGGTGACCTTTGTTGGGTTTAGGTGTATACTTTTGTAACAATATATATATAATACCGAGTGTACAGTTTGGTCCTTTGAAACCGTCCATACTCTCGGCGGAGCAAGAAACATTATGTTAAATATTTTTCTAGATATTTATTCACGTTGCAACTAGAATACTTCTTGTTCTAGAAAAGATTTGACGAATTCAATATCTATCTTTATATACATATATATTATATATAAAGTTTCAAAGGAATGGATTATAAGTGAGATAAGTTTCAAACGGAACTTATAAGGAAATTAGCAACATATTAATCAAAATAGAGATTATAACAAGCGTTAATTAATCACGCGTAGCATATATTTTAATTGATTTTTGGAACGGTGTGATGTTATGTTATTCAAAGCATGTTATATATGGGAGGTTGAATCTACTCTTGACCTTTAGGAATTTCATTATACAAGTTCATTCCCCTTATGGTCCGACATTTGTTTTCCACTTAAAATTATGATAATAACGGTTGATTTTCAACCAACCACCCTCTGATTTAATTGCTTATTATATTTGACTAAATGTCTATTAATTAGTAGTCCTCTCCCCATGCACTTTGGTCATATAGGTTACGTGTGAAAGTAACATGACATTTGTCAGTCAATGTTGTTTTCATGTTTTTTAAAAAAAAAATCGAAATCAAATTCCTCTGTCAATTTCTCTATCATTAATTTTCTTATATTCTTACGGGTGACCATTCCAATGTATTGAACAAAAAAAATGAGTTGATATAAGTTATGAAAAAAATCCGATATCTTGACGATTTTTTAGGGTTATATGTATATACATATATATTAAACTATTGTGCATACATTATTTTATCCGAATTCGAAAATAAAAATGAAAACCTACGATAAGAATGTCAATATGTTTGATTCTATTAAGCTTCTTCGAAGCTTACAGACTTTTCTTGTTTGGGTTTGGGGATTATAGAATTTTACAGAATCCTATGCTCCAATAATTTTGTATTATATAGTAAGATGTTAATTAGGTGAATAAAGATACATTTTGTGATCACCTAATAATTAATAAAAAAAATCTTAAATTATATATAACTATACAAGCGAGATTACTATTACTTAATAAAGATATTCTCACATATATTTATAGCTATATATAATATCTCAATACATGGCTATATATGATATTCAAATAGAGATCTACTTCTATAAATTTTGAATTATATCATTTTAGGCGATTCACTACTTTAACTAACTTGTTTGGATGATTTATTTTTATTTGTTTTAGATTTGTATACAAATTAAGATATCGAGCTTTAACATTAATAAAAAAACAAAATAACATTTTGAAATAAAAAAAAATGGAATTTCGAAAAAAAAAACCTTGAGCGTGGGGCCTCTCTAACCGTGGGGCCAAATGCAACCTAAAAAAACAAAATATTTGTTTAAGAAAACGAAAAGGGAAACAAAAAAACATTAAATATTTTCAACAACAGTCAAATTTGCCGTACGACATAACTTCACACAAGAGACAGAGACGAGAAATCTTATCAATTCACCTTCTCGAGACAAGCTTATGCATATATATATATATATATATATATATATATATATATATATGTAAGTAT